GCCGGGGCGCCGGGCGGGGGGCGTACCTGGGTCAGGCAGAGCGGGGACGAATACATCCCGGGCGCGGCGGGAGGCTCAGGGCCGGCCGGAGCGGGCGCGCTGAACTTACTGAGTCATTTTTCCAACCCCCCCCCGCGGCCGCGGCCGGCGCGCTCCTCGCCGCCTCCTCCCTCGGTCTCCCTCCCTCCTCCCTTCCGAGCTCTCCCTCTCTCCTGCGCCCGACTCCCTCTCTCTCTCCCTCTCTCTGTCTCTCTCTCTTCCTTTCCTGTCCCTGACCCCTCCTCCCCCGTCTCTGTCTCTCCCTGTGTCTCTGTCTCTCCTCCCTCTGGCAACCTCCTCTCTCCCTCCCCGAATTTCTCTCCCCTCCCACCCCGAACCTCCCACTTCTCAACATCCAACTTTCAAAGAAACGAGGGAAAAAAGAGCGCGAGCGAGAAAGGAAAGCCGCGCCCCCTCCCCATGCTTCATGAACCCCCATTACTGCTTATTATTATGGATTTCGAGCCACCCTGGGCCGGGGTACCGGTGGGGGGACCAACGGGCCACGCACACCCCGACCCCAGCGGGTACCCCTGGACCGCCCGCCCGAGTCAAGTGGGGAGGCAGGGGCTGCTGCTGGGCATTTTGGGGCCGGAGGTGGATTTGGAAGACACCCTCCCCGTCTCTCCGTCTCCCCCCCCCCCCCCCCCCGAGCTGGCCGGGAAGTTGGAGAAAGGAGCCAAGGTGGGGGGGAGGGAGGGAAAGAATGAAGTGACGTGTGCAGAGGCCGAGAGCGCGAGCGCGCGTCTTTGCCCTTAAAGATGTACAACCCGGGGTTCATGGCAAGAGAAAGGGTCTCACGGCACTCTCTCCGCCTGCTCCCCTGAGAGCCAGACAGGGACTGCAGATCCCCAGCACAGGGGCTTGGCGCCGACTGCCCTTTCTTGACCAGATGGGCCCCAACCAACAGGGGAGCCTCTAGGAATCTGCTCTCTCCTCAGTCAGCACTAAAGGGGAACTGGGTGTTGAGAGGGCTTTGGCCTCCCCTATATGTTGCCCCAGTAGCCCATGAGGGAAGGTGTCGGGGCAGAACCTCAGGCTGGCCAGATAAATCCTTGCAGCCTCTTCCTGGGTGTCCAGGAATTCCTACTGATCCCAAAAAATGTGCCCATTTCACAGATCCAGAAACTGAGGCACTCAGAGTGGCTTGGAGCCTGTCCACCTGGCCCCAGAGCTGACACTCGTCAGCCCCATTATTCTCCCTCTAGAATAAATGGGCACAGACCTGCCTCCCCCAGTCTGAGCCACCAGAGAGCCTGACCATCTAGCCCCCACTCCCCGCCTCCCCCAGTCCACTCAGAATCCTCCCAGCCTTGCTCAGAGGCCGATGCAACTCTCACTGCCACCCCACAGACCAGGGTGGTGTGGACGGTCACTCCCCGCTTGGTGTCCTCCCCTGTGAAGCGGACTAACGGTGCCCACCCCACCAGGTCAGTCAGCAGAAGGATGATGGCACTTAGCAGAGCCTTAACCTTCTGTCAAACGTGCACTGAGACATTCTTAGAAAGCTTGGCCATTTTGATTCATCTCTCCGAGTGTCCCGAGAACAAATGATACCCTCTCGACAACCTCGGGCAGCTGCCCCGTGCCCAGGGGCTCAGAAGATGCCAGCAATGCTGTTAGTAGTTATGCGGGAGGAGGAAATTGAGGCCCAGGAACAGACGCTACCAACTGGAGGCCCTGGGGCTGGACTAAGAGGGAGTCAGATATACAAAGGGCATGTGTGCCCTGGGACCCACCGGCTCCCACTGCACATGGGTGACGGTCTTTCAAACAGCAGTTCACAAATGGTTTGTTAACCACCCCCTCCCCCGCACCCTGCAGCTGTGGGGAGCATTTAAACCCCAGGGTGAATGGGGGTGGGGTGGGAAGCAGGTATCTAGGACTCCAAATGCCAACATAACATAAAGCAGTATTTTATTATTTCCAAAACGCCATGAACACGTGGAGGGCAGCATCCCAAATTCACATTTAAACTTTGCAGCGGGGCTTCACAGCGCTCTCCTGGCTTGCAGCAACCCCCAGACAGCCCCACCCCAGGACACTCCCCGCAATGCTCACCCCCTCAAAAGCAGCCGTCACAAGGCAGTTTAGGTTCTCTCAAAGGCAAAGTCTGCAGAACACAGACCACCTCCCTCTCAGAACCTCAGTCTCCACATCTATAAAATGGCAATGATAGGACACATACCGCACTCTGGAAGGCTGGGAAAGGCTCTGAGATAACGTGTCGAAAGACAGTGTTAATATATTAGAGGTGATGTGTGGCAGAACATTTTGCGAGTTCACAAACAGCATTGAAGTGTTACATGGATATACAATCCAGTTTGGGCAGGAGGGGCCCCTGCAGTGTACACAGCAGGTGCACAGAGGGCCGGCTGTAGTACAAGGTTGCAGCCTGGGTCTACGTCTCCTCTCCACCAGCAGCTAAACCTCCCTGTGCCTCAGCTCCCCGCTCTGTGAAATGTGGCAGTGATGGTTTCTGCCCCTCTAGGTTGTGGTGGGTAAACCAGCCAGTGTTTAGACGGAGGTGAGAACGGTGCACCGTGCATAGTGGTTTCTTAGCAAAGCAATCGGCGGATGGGATCTGTGCGGGTAAGGGCTCAGAAGTGGGGGTGTGATTTAGCTCCTGGCACTCTGGAGCAAAATCATTTGTTTAAAAACGCACTTCCCCTATCGCTCACTCCCTGGCTTCTTCATCCCAGACACAGATGCACAAGGGTGTCGACTGTCACCTTGCAACCCTAATGCCAACCACCTGGGGCTGGCCACCGCGCGCCTCTGTGGGGGCCAGCCCAGCAAGGCTGGCACGGCACAGCATGGAACACTACACAGCTCCACGAAAGAGCAAGGGGCTCCCAGCTGGAGACGGCTCCAAGAGCCACCCGGGGGGAAGGCACGATGCAGACCAGGGCTCCCCACCCCAGCACTGTGGACCATCCTCTGTGGGGGTATCCCGGGGCCTGGAGGGTGTGGAGCAGAGTCCCTGGCCCCCACCCACTGGAGGCCAGGAGCACCCCAGGTCGTGATAACCACAGACGTCCCCAGACATCACCCAGTGTCCCCTGGGGCAAAAACCACTCCAGTTGAGAACCCCTGCTGTAAACTCAACAGGTAAACTCAAGATCTCATTTGGGATTTTTTTAAGGATATGCATAGATCCATTATAAGAACATACATGTAAGGGGGAGGGTATAGCTCAAGTGGTAGAGCGCATGCTCAGCATGTGTGAGATCCTAGGTTCAATCCTTAGTACCTCCTCTAAAAATAAAAAAAATAAATAAACCTAATTACCTACCCCCCAAAACAAACAAGAAAAGAATATACATGCATACTTTATAAGAATGTGTATCTGTTATATCTGCAATTGCTCAGACAAAGCTGGGTGATAACGGGGCCTTTCTGGAGTGGGGAAGGGGGCCCCCTGGGGTAGGAGTTATGAGGAAGGTTTGATTTTTACTCTAGGTACTTTGGTAGCCTCTTTAGATGTTTCTGAGTGGCTTGTTATTAAAAAGCAAACTTTAAAAATGTGAGTGGACTTTGCAGGGGCTGGAATTCACAGCAAAATGTTTAAAAGTGAGAGCAGCTCAGGCAGGGATGATAGGGGTCCAAGCCTCCCCGGTAACTCCACAGCCACCAGACCCAGCGAAGAGACACAGTAGGGAGCCAGGACCTGTGATTGCATGGCAACACTGTCCCCGCTCCGACCTCATGAGGCATCATGTGTTCCCACTTCACAGATGAGACATTAAGCTCCTAGAAGGGGCTGTTAAGGTCCTCCTCAGTCTTCAGAGGTAAAGGTGGGATGTGACATTAGAGCTGGCACAGAATACAACAGAGACACACAAACACAACATGCCACGAACTGACACAAAGACAGACATACAGAAAAACGTCACACGGAAAAACACGGATCCTCACGTGTCACCCTGACTCAAACAGATACAGATCTACAGACCCCAGGTGACACACAGACCCATGGAGACTCACATGGAAACGCACAGATCCAAAAAATGAGCACACACACAACCCCAAACACAACACACAGACGTTGGGCCACAATAACACAAGCACATCCGAACACAACTATACACACTTACAAGTAGAACCCCTCCCAGTATTTAAACCCTGGCACACACACACAGTAACACACAACACATCACATGCCTGCTCCTCCTCAGGGCTATCCCCACCAGCTCCCCCCTACAGCTGGGGTCTTTGCTCTCCAAGCCCTGTAGGGACATGGCTTGGACGGGGAGATGGGGTGATGGGCTTGCCTCCGCCCCCTCCCAGAGCGCAGGTGCCTGTCTGTGAGTGTGTGTGTCCGTGTGCCTGTGTGTGTGGTTGTGCGGACCCCTGTGGGTGGGCAGAGTTTTGCACACATGTGGCTGTGAACACATAGCTGGGAGGGTGTGTCATGGGCGCGTGCTGCTGAATGTGCTTACAAAGGAGAACGTGTCCCCCTGCGCGCCAGGTGACAGGTGGGGATGGAGGGGAGTGTGGTGTAGGGCAGAGCCCGGGAGTGGAGTCAGGAGTGGAGGGACCCCCGGGTGGGCGAGCTGACCTGAGCTGGGGACACCGAGTGTCGTGTGTGTATGCATCCCTGGGTCAGTGTTAGACCCCTTTTTCTCCCCTTCCCAATCCGCCCCCAGAGAGGATGCAGGTTTAAAGTAAAAAGCAGAGATTCCTGCCTGGCCTTGGGGCTTTTATATTTAGAAAATTATATCAAGCGCCCTGGGGCGGGGAGGGGGGGGGCCGAGGCGGGGATTCCCCTGGAGGGGAGACAACAACACTTTGTGTCCGCCGGATCTGGCCCGGTCCCGGGCAAGCGGTGGGAGGCAGGCCTGGGGGCGCAGCTCCCAGCCCATCCGGCGAGGAGGTCTCCTGGGCCATCCCCTGGTCCAGACCTAACCCAGTAACCACCCATCCCTCGGGACCTCTTCGGAGGCGGAGGTGGGGGGACCCCCCCCGCCGCCCCGCCCCTCTCTGGGTCAGGTCCCCGCGCACGCGCAGCCCCTGGCGGGAGACGTCGCCGCCAAGTGATCGCGTCCCGGCGCCACCTCGCGCCCGAACCTCAAGCTGAGACCACCTAGGGCTGCGCGGATGGGGGACCCGGAGGCAGGGGGAATTGGAGGGGTGAGGAG